GAGCTTGGGCTCCTTTTCCCGAAATTGATCTGCTTCACTGTTGACTCTCTGTGGGCGTGTCCTTTTTTTTTCTCGTACTGTACTCTCTTCACCGTTGATGGTTTTGTCTCAGTTTTCATCTTTGTGTGTCACTTGTAAACGACCTTGCTATTGCAGATTTAGTTCATATGTTTTACCTTGCTAGGACGATAACGTTGAGGGTGCTTTTATTTTGTCATATCATCAGGATGCGTGATCGGGGTCGCTCTCTACTGGATGAAAACCAAAACAGTTTCTTTTTTTTTCTCGTACTGTACTCTCTTCACCGTTGATGGTTTTGTCTCAGTTTTCATCTTTGTGTGTCACTTGTAAACGACCTTGCTATTGCAGATTTAGTTCATATGTTTTACCTTGCTAGGACGATAACGTTGAGGGTGCTTTTATTTTGTCATATCATCAGGATGCGTGATCGGGGTCGCTCTCTACTGGATGAAAACCAAAACAGTTTCACAAAGCAGAAAATCAAACATTGAATACCAACCTCGTTCCCTTCTCAACCAGGCGCTAAAAAACGGTCCACTGTTTGACTTCTCACCTTCACTTTTGTCTGTTTTGACCGTCGAGCGCGTTTCTTCCCCTTACGTGGGACTGGGCGCTCCTCTTTTAACGAAGCATCTTTTGGGCAAGATCGGGGGAGAGGATTCGCTGGAAGCACCAGCGATGTTTGTTGGATGCATATTGATGAGAAAGAGGCAGTGGCATTTCAAAAGACTTTCTTCCTCCCGCTCCTTTTCAGGCGCATGCCTTAGTCTTCGATGTTTGCCTGACTCAAAAAGGTCCAAAACTTTTACTTGTAATCGTCAGAGCAGGGAAGCTCGTATTGCCAGGTATTGCCTCAGTCATATCTATCTATCTATCTATCTATCTATCTATCTATCTATCTATCTATCTATCTATCTATCTATCTATCTATCTATCTATCTATCTATCTATCTATCTATCTATCTATCTATCTATCTATCTATCTATCTATCTATCTATCTATCTATCTATCCTCAGTCTTTCCATTCTTTAGTAATCAACAGTCAAGTTGAAGCCAGCCGTGTGTCCCTGTGACACAATGTCCAAGTCTCTTACCTTCATTGGAAGGTTAAGTGTCGCATTTCCAAACATTGCCGAAGAAAAGTCTGAGGGCGGCAGGTGACAAAACTGTCCCAAAGTCATTTGTGCCACCGAAAACTGTCATATATCGCAATCATATCAATTTCAATGACTGTATCAGATACCGAAAAGGTCGGACCTGGCTGAGGTCGAGTTTGGAATGTCACACGGTTCAATGAGCAATCTTTTTGTCTCTGTAGGTTCAGATTCCGTTTGTTGAAGACATTTCCCTTTGAATTGTGTAGGCTTGTTCTCTTCATGGCATTTGGTCTTCAACATTGCCAAACCTTTTTAGATTGAATAACACACAATATCAAAGTCACATTTTGTTTTCTCACTGAAGATCATCCAAGTTCCGAGGAGCAGCAGGAGCCGGAGTGCGTCCAAATGAAGGAGGAAGAGCAGGAGGAGGAAATCGGCAAGTTTCCATTGACTGGAGTCAGCGTGAAGAGTGAACTCGTCGATGCAGGATCCCAGGCGGACGGCCTCCTCCCGCCACTTTCAGACGGGGACGCCACAGCATCCCGCTCTTCTGACACTGGCAGTGACGACGATGACGACGAACACGCTCAAGGTGATTTAACACGTCACGCTGACAACAAACGAGTGGCGTGTTCCCAGTGCGACAAAACCTTTGTCAACAAGTCATCCTTGAAAAGACACACGAGGACTCATACTGGCGAAAAGCCTTTTGCCTGCTCGCTTTGTGGGAAAAGATTCTCCAGGAGGGGAGATGTGACGAGCCACACAAGAAAACACACCGGGGAAAAACCTTTTGCCTGCTCAATTTGCGGCAAAAGGTATTCTCTTAAGGATAGCTTAATAAGTCACACCCGAACCCACACTGGGGACAAACCTTTTGCCTGCTCGGAGTGTGAGAAAGTATTTTCGAGAAAGGGAGATTTGACAGTTCACACCAGAACACACACCGGAGAAAAACCTTTTGCCTGTTCACTTTGCGCTAAGACATTTTCTCTCAAGGAAAGTTTAGTAAGACACACAAGAACGCACACTGGCGAGAGACCGTTTGCCTGCCCGGTTTGTGGGAAAAATTTCTCCCGAAAGGGCCACTTACGAGATCACTCGAAAACGCACACTGGGGTGAAGCCTTTTGTCTGCTCAGATTGTGGGAAGAAATTCTCCTCGAGGACACATTTAACAAGACACGCCAGACGACACACTGGAGAAAAACCTTTTGTCTGCTCGGATTGCGGGAAAAGGTTTTCGACCAAGGGAGAATTAACAGCTCACGCGAGGACACACAGTGGGGAAAAACCCTTTGCCTGTTCACTTTGTGACAAGAGGTTTTCGACAAACGACCATTTAAAAACGCACACCAGGACACACACCGGAGAAAAACCTTTTGCCTGCACGCTATGCGGTAAAGGCTTTAAGATCAAGAAAGAATTGAACATACACACGAGAACGCACACCGGGGAGAAACCATTTGCGTGTTCATTTTGTGGCTCCAGATTTAGACAAAAGGGACATTTGAAAGCACACAGAAGAACGCACACTGGAGAAAAACCTTTTGGCTGCGTAGGATGTGAAAAAAGATTCACCCAGAGGAAACTTTTAAAAGCACACGCAAGCGGGCACACTGGAGAAAATCCTTTTGCCTCCTCCGTTTTTGGTCCAACATTTTCTCCAGAGGAAGATTGAAGAAGGCATGCAAAGAAGAAACACTGGCCAAAAGCCTTTTTGCCCCCCACTCACGTTGCGGCCACCCCAAGCCGAGCTTACCAAAACACCTTAGCGTACACTGGAGACAATATGTTCAGTTGTGGAGCCTGTTCTAAGAGATTCAGATGAAGAGACACAAGCTTGTGAGTGCAAGTCACCGACTCCTCCCCTCCTCCCTCCGGAGGAACTCATGAAAAGATGGTATTGTTCAAGTGATTTGTCTACTAGGGTGCAATCTTTTCCGCCATTTGTTCATACAATGCGTTTTGTATAGAACACATAACGAAATTATTGTTATTATTATTTTATTTTTTCATAAAATGAAATAAAACCCATTTATCAATGGCCAGAAAAAAAAGTCCCAATTGGAAGAGGTGGCTAAATAATTTATTTTCAAGGAATTCTGTGAAGCGAAAAGAATGACTTTAAACCAAACAAGCGCTTCAAGTAACATTTAGGAAGAGCAGAGTGAAAGCAGCGCCACTTTTGCGTCATGTTCGAAAGGCCCACCTTTGATTCAACTGTAATAACTCAGTCTGAACACTGGGGGGCACCGCATAAAGATGGACTTGACCAAGAAAAAGGAGCCACCAGGAAAGAAATCTGCCTTCACGTTGAGGAGAGACTGCAGCGTTCTCTGCTGAGCTGTAAATCAATTGAATTAAAAAAGGAATACAAGAATGATTTTTGAGAAGAATTCACTGACCAAATCTGAATACCGACACGGTGAATGTGGCTCCTTGTAAAACTCTTTGCAGTGATGAATGGTGCAACGTAGCGTGCTGGTAATGTTTACGTTCTCTCTGTCCACGCTACCCTTGGGCCAAATTCTTCAGAACGCCGATGTTGGTTAACATGGCGTTGCAGATAACGCGCACTTACATTTAAAACTGGCGCTTAATGGCAACAGTTCAATTAAATACACGGATGAACCAAAATGTCCTTCAACACAACCCCAATAAAACTAAGGCAATTGCTTTTGGAAGTGCAGGAGCTAGCTAGCTAAAGCTAGCCATCAGTTGGGAAGGCATTGCTCGCGTATTCTGTCCGAATATGATTGCCGTAACTCGCGTTCAAAAATGGCCTACCTGCTGCGCATGCGCTTTGCTGATTGTGCGAGAGTAACGCAGATCGTGGCTCGGACAAGCGTTTCACTAAATCCTTATTCTGGAATGACTCCTGACCGGGCTAAATCTTTGACAAAGTACGCCTAAAACGACCGAATGCGACCTTCGTGTCCCTATAAAGTCGCCTGGCTGCACGTTGAAGCTACACTGGCAAACTTAGCTTTGCTTCGCTAACAGGCAGAAGCGTCTGTTAGCAACACGTCGCTCAGAAGAGATCAAGTGAATGTCAAGTCTTGTGATTGTCGCGGGAAATGTGTGCAAGAAAGACGACAGAGTACAAGGAGGAACTTTGTCAGTTGGAACCTCGAGTTGCCTTAAACGGAGCAGGTTTGTTTACTTCTCGTTCTCACTTGTTTCATGACTACCTTCCGGCCTTCTTACCGTTTTACGTCACATGTACACAAACATTATTAACATCCAATGTCGGGTAAGAGGCGGATCTTCTTGGTTTCCCCTCATGATTATGTTTGAGACCTCGGACTCTGATGTTTCCCCTCTGTCCACTGTTTGACTTTTTTTTTCTTTTGAGGATCCAACAGCTTGTCATTCTGTTATCTTCAACGTTGCCAAAACATTCAGAAACAATAATAGACAATGTCAAAGCCACAACGTGAGACTTGACTGAACAAAGGTTGACTCAAGCAATCTCTGTCTTCTGCAGACCTCAATGAAGAAGAGCACTCAAGGGGAACATTTAAATGCACACGCAAGCAGCAGGAGCCAGCGTATGGCCAAATTAAAGAGGAGGAGCAGGAGGAGGAGCGTGAGTGCCCTTACGTTAAAGAAGAAGAGCAGGAAGATGAAATCAGCAAGATTCCATTGACTGGAGTCATTGTGAAGAGTGACGAAGATGATGGGGACCAGGATGGGCGATCCCAATCGGACAGCCTCTTAGCTCCACTTTCAGATGGTGATGACGTGACGTCACGCTCTTCTGACACTGGCGGTGACGACGACGATGATGATGAACACGTTACAGGTGATATGACACGTCATGCTGA